GGGTGTGGTGTGGTTGATTGCACATCGGGGGAACGATCCTGCTTTTGGGACAACAGTCCTGTCCCCATCCTGCAGCAGGGCTGGAGACTGACAGGGCAGGGAGGAGCCGCTCACGCGACACCAGCCCGTTATAATGACAGAGGGCAGAAAAAACGCCCTGTTATGCCAAAAAAAATTCTTTCACAGGGATTTTGGCTGGGCCAGATCCCCCCTTCCCAAAACACAGCCCTGAGAAACCTCCCCCTGCGTCTCAGCCCCTGCGTTAACAGAAATGGGGAGCGGAGGAAAACGGGCATCCGGATGGCGTTCATGGCAAAATGTTGATTGACTCGAGCGAGGAAGCTCCGTCAGGGCTTGATGCTGGCTGGAACTCCCTGGAAATTGCTTTAGAAAAGAACATGGTAAACGGCTTTTCCCTACTCAGGGAGATGAAAAGACAAATCCTGGAAATGTTTGGCAACAAAGGGCTCACTGTCACTGTAAGAATTTCCCCCCCCAGCTCAATCACAGGGAAGAGGGAGGGAGCGAAGTCTTGGAGGTGGCTGCGCAGCGGGTCAGCATGGATAACCATAAAGGGTCACCTTGATACCGGGGTTGCTCCCCAGGGGCTGTGTCCCCTGAGGGCTGCTGACTCTCCCATCACTGGGGACAGGATAAAACACGTCCCTCGCCCAGCCTGGCACGGCTTTGGGTGCTTCCTGGCCATCCTGCCCCATCCCCCTACCACCGCTGCAGTCAGTTTGCAGTGGCCATCGCGGCTCCCCGGGGCCAAACTTGCCATCAAAAATGTGATGCAGGGGTTGGTTTTGCTTTGGCTGTGACTCAGGGCTTTGGCTCTAAAACCACCACCTGTCTGTAGCAGGACCGTGCCCAGAGCCCGAGCAGCAACCGCTTACCAGTACCCAGCAGCTCGCGGGGACGCGCGCTGGCGTCTCGCATCAGGCCCGGCAGAAACGACTTCCCGTCTTTTCATTGGAAGTCATCGTAGGAAATAGAACTTCACCCTGAAGAAGAAGAAAAAAACCCCCAAAACCTAATTTAGTAAGTTAAATTTTAAAATAATAAACTTTGCAAGCGAACTAGAGAGATAATGTTGAGGCAAGGCTGAGTTTTTGGAGCCCATATGGATCCTGCCAGGCGGGGATGTCCCAAAACCGGACACTTTGGACCTGACGGTCCCACGCCTGCGACCCCTCCGCTTGCTGTTCCCACACCCACCACCAGCTCTGGCTAATTTTGTCCCCTTCCCCCCCGGCAGCTCCCCAGCACCTCACCCTCTGCCCAGGCTGCCGTGGCTCCCACACAGCTGGTTCTGGGGATTTTGTCACCGCTCATTTCCCTGCGGAAAGGGAATTCTCCCACTGCTTTGCCTTGCTTATCCCTCCCAGGCTGTTATTACTCCTACTTACACAATTCAGCGTATTATTTCCTCCTGTCACCTTCATTTCTAATAATTAGTGTTTGGTGTAATGCTACAGCAGAATTCAGTTCTTAATGAATATTATAATAAGCACAAAATTATAATTTACTGCTCAAAAAATCCATGTTAAACACAGTCTATTTAAGAGAAAATGAGGGCGAGCGGCTTTCAAGCCATTTACATGGCTGGATCAAAATCCAAATCGAGTCCCCAGCAAGATCCTAAAACAACCAGGAACACACAGAGAAACCCTTTCCAAACCGGGCGAGGGCAGCCGGGGGCGTTTACCGGCCTGGGACACGTCACCGACCGTGTCCGGGCCGACCGTGTCCGGGGCTGGACGCGCGATGGTGGCAGCGACGTGACCCACCGGGGTGGGACCAGGAGGCCGACACCTCCCCAGGGAACAAGCAGTTGTGTGCCTCAAAGTTTGGTTTACTCCCTGACGGAATGCTTTGGTGTTGACCCCCCCGGCGTGGGAGCGGGCGACAGCACTAATCCAGGAAAAGTGCTGGGGCATGGACGAGTCCCCGATGTCCCGGTTGCACATCCCAGCCTCTGCCGGGCCCTCTCACCGACCAGTTTTCCTTCCTTCCGTGGGGCTGCTTGCAGTGGGTTCAGCCCCATTGCTGTGGCACTGGGGGTCACCTGGGCATGTTTTTCTGAACCCCACAGCAGGTTTTGGCTCTTCGGTCAGTAGTTTGGTGCTGGTGTGCCAGAAACCAGCTTGGGGGAGAGAAAAGTTGAAAGTGGGGAGGTTTAGATTAGGTATCAGGAAGAAGTTCTTCCTGCAGGGGGTGGGGAGGCACTGGGACAGGTTGCCCAGAGAAGCTGTGGATGCCCCATCCCTGGAAGTGTCCGAGGCCAGGCTGGATGAGGCTTGGAGCAACCTGGTCTGGTGGAAGGTGTCCCTGCCCATGGCAGGGGGTGGACTGGATGGGCTTTAAGGTCCCTTCCCACCCAAACCGTTCTGGGGCTCTATGATTCTAAGTTTGGGGTGGTTCAGTGGCTGCCCTGAGCCCGCAGGAGCTGGTGATGGAGCTCGTTCCCCCTTTCCAGCACCGAGTCAGCCCCTGCCCCTCGCAGCTGCCCTGTCCCGGCCAGTTCTGCCCAGATTTTGGGAGAGCCACAGCCATCCCTCCCCATCGCCAGCCCCGAGAGGGTCATTCCCTTAGAACTGCAAAGGCTGGACTTGTTAGGGGTAAACATCCCCAGGTGAGAAATGATACATGGCTGGTAAAATTCAAGCAAACCCCCTCCCTGTTTCAGATGGGGCTGCAGTGAGATGCTGCCGACGGCTAGATCCTTCGTTACAAGTAACGGGGCCACAAAGTGCTCTTTGCTCAGCCTCTGCAAAATAAACAGCAGGTTTTTGTCTGGGTGTGCTCTGCTGGGAATCACCGGTCCGTCGACTTGGTGTGCTGCTGCGAGCAGGACAGGAAAATGAGGCTGTAACACCCTAATGCGAAGCACAGACGTGCCTCCTCATCCTCCACCGGCTGTCGGGGGAGGGGCGAGGATCTTCACGTTGCATCACAGGAACTTTTAGGGTGGGAAAGACCTTTAAGCTCATCCAGCCCAATTGTTAGAGGCGGTTCAGAGGTCGTTCATGCCATGGGCTGAGCTTCCTGGCAGACA